GCGCGTGATTTATCGGCCTTAACGTGCCTCGATCCCCTGGCGGTCCTACGCCCCAACATTCAAGGGCGCGCCGCACCACAGGCCTCCCGGACGCCCGCGACGACGCGATCAACACGGACAGGCGCAAAGAGTGGCATGTCGACGACGTCTTCCGCGAGCGTACGCGCCGCCGTTGCCGCCGCTGTGGGGGCTTCTACGGCTGCGCCTGTCGCAGGCGAGTGCAGCGTGTGCCGGAGCGCGGCATACTCCGGGAAACGCGCGCGCGCGGGCGAGCTCGCGCATGACCTGCGCCTTGGCGTCGGTGAGCGCGTGGGCCGCGGGGAGGAGGCGCGCCTGGACGTTGGTCGCCGGTGGGAGCAGGAGGTGGTGGGACACGCGGAAGGCGGCGAGGGCGTCGGGGCGGCCCGCGACGGAGACCCAGGTGTCGGTGGTGGGAAGACCTGCGGGGACCCGGAGGGCTGGTGTGTGCATTGAGTGAGTATGAGAGTCCGTAGAGAGGGGCCGGATTTTGCGTACCTGCGCTGAGTTGCACATGTCCACGGCGTCCTGGATCTGCACGTGTGTGGAGCCGAAGTTGACTAGTGTCCAGGAGGCCGATGCGGCATCTGTGATCTGGGCACCTGTTAGAGTCGTTAGGGCGTTTTGCTGAGCGCGGAGACCGATCCAAAACGCGAGACGAAAAGCCTCGGTGGCATGTGGAATGAGAGCAGGAATAGCGTCGGTGCAGGCTCGGATGACCGAGGCAGTAATCATGCCCGTGGACAAGCCGAGAATAGTGAGCTCGTCTGGCTGTGCATGGTCGAGAGAGCCGTGGGCTTCGGTGGCGGCGATGTAGCGGAGCAGCTGGGTGAGGTGGATGTGGATGTTTGCGACGACGACGTTGTATGGAAAGCGCGACGGCAGGTCCAAGATGAACTCTGGGTGAGGAAAATTGTCGAGAGCGAGCCCCGAGTCGAGACGCTCTTGAGACGAGAGCGAGCCGTAATCCCGTACGAGCGCCTGGTGACATGAGAGCAGGACGGCTCTTCCTATGGGAGCGTGCGCGTCGCAAAGGGCAGCCTGAATTGCGTGAGATGAAGTCGCGTTCGGGGAACCTTGTCACTCGAGAACCAATTGGGCTCTGAGAGGACATAAAAGAATGAAGACAGCAGGAGACGACCAAATACGCGACTTATATTCCTCAAGCCGATTTAAGGCGTGCGAGGATCTGCGAGCAGAATTGAGCATTCCAATATGGCGTGGTCTGCAATTCATTGTCTGAATTGACTGCCCCTGGACGCAGTGGACTCCGAACAGGAGTTCACACAGACCTTGGGCTACCCTGACGAAAAATTCTCCAAGGTTAGTACCGTGGCGCAGAAATCGTTGAGCAGGCGCACCACCCACGACAGTAGCTGCCGACACTCGGGCCGTAAACAGTCGGCGAAGGCCGCTAGCTTCTGTGTCAGACAATCGGCGGTGTCGTCCTCATTGAAATGCCAGTGTTCGTAAATGGGATAAATGGCGGCTCATGTTCCTTATTCGGGCAGCGTCCAAGCTATACAGCTCCTCGCCGTAGGCAGAAGAGAACCGCCGCCGGGACGACGGCATTGCGTTTGTCAGTACGAATGCTTTCCTAGGCCGACATATGTCATCCCACCAGATCATGGAATGAACCGGCTGCAGTTCACGATATCAGGACCCTGTGCACCCCAAAAGGGCATGGGATGACCGGGGTCCCCTTATCAGAAGAAAGCGCTTGTGAGTAGACGTCAGTGTTTCTTCAGTGCGAGCCTCAACGTGAGTCTTGCAAGTCGTCTCTCTGTGTACTCATTTCATACCTGTATGCATTTGAAACGCATCGTATGAGCAGCTTTGGAAGGCTGCTTGGAGTCACAGCTCTGCCACTGAGGAACTCGAGCGCCGAACATGCGATGCATTCTGACTGACTGCTGAGCCTCTGGACATGCCGGAGCCGTTCGAGTCGCATACATTCAGCTGCGTCGGGAAACGGCGGAGACAATAGTCAGTCTGTCACTTCTCGGCGCTTTTTCTGCGCAGACACGAGAGATGGACGTTATTTCCGTTACGAAGCCTCCCAGGTCCGAGCCGCAACTTCTAGACGAGGTACGCGATTACTCGGCGACTTGCGCGTACTGACCATAATGTCGACATGTCTGAATGCAGCGGATATGATGGCGTGTCCGTTTGGCGGATCTGTGATACCGACGCTAGATTCTACATTCCTCCGCGCTTGCGGCTCTACTAGTAGACTTCCCTGGCTGCCAGCTGGAAACCAGTATCGCGCCCGTCTTTCAAGCTTCTTTTTCGCTACTCAGATGACTCGAGCTGTTCCCGCCTATTGGGTCGTGGATGCGCAGCTGCTGCCGCTCGTACCGACAAAGTTTACCGTCGCGAGACAGGATCCCGGACAGTCATGGTACACGTACTTACGTTCGACAGCCGAAGCCATTGACAGATGTGTCTCGGAGGCGAGAGCATGTTTCCGTCAACGACCACGTCGCCCCAGTCGATGATGGCATGAAAACGAATCAAACGGATTTGCAGGCACTGAAAGTGGCCGACAGCAAACATGAGCCGTCCGAAATCCTCCGTGCAGGCCGGCGGTGGTACAGTGATATCGAGGGCGATGAGGCGCGACGACAACAACGTTTTCAGGAGCGATGTAGCAGCGATATGATGAGACCGCCCATGGTTATGCAAGGTCTGAGAAAAGACGATCCAGAGTGGGGAAACCTCCCCAGGCGGAAGAAGTCCAAGTAAGCAGCACATGCTGAATGAAAAGCGGAGCATATTTCGCGAGGACTGAGCTCTTCCAGATCAAGTGTGCAAGATTCGACAGGATGAGATCAGGATGGTGCCTCGCCAGTATCTCAACAGCGGCCTCGTCCACTGCGCATTCGGTTACATTATCTACACAGACACAGAGGGACTTGACTTGGCGGGCGTGATACCGAAACCTCCGCCAATCGGCTGGCAATGGAGGCTTGATGATAGTCTATAGCCACAGCATCGCAAGAGAGATAAGGGGAAGTTCACTTGGGCCAAAATGTGTATTAAGGGCTCACCAGGACATTGTCAGAAGTTTGAGATATGTCTACCAGATAGTCTGGTAGACAATTGACCAAGGGCTTGGAACCCTTTAGATTGAC